AAACAGTTGAAACGCGGTTGTCATCGAGAGGCGTCGCAACGCGACGTGTCAGGCTCACACGTCTACCAGAAGTGATGATAACGCAAATCATGCGTTTCGAATGTGCCGATGGACGAGTTGTGAAAATTGACAGCAGGTTGGTCTCATCTACTGCATTCAAAAGAAAATATAAACCTACGTTACAAAGTGGGAGCACTCTTCAGATGGAGCTCAGCACGTATACGAGGTTTTTTTTCCATCATCAGCAGATAATGTGAGTGTTTGATTGCAGAGTGCATATACCGCGGACCATCAACATCGCGGCGCTAACATCTGGCGTGGAAGCTGCAAAGTATTCCTTGAGAGCGGTAATTATGCACATTGGTGGCGTGGAAGCAGGACACTATACCGTCGTTGTACGTTCGCGAGAGGTAATAATAGAAATTTTCTTGGCTTTGATGAAATGAAACGATATTGTTCATCGAACGTGACTGAAAAGTAATTCCAAAACTTATTGCAGGGTTATGTGCACTGCGACGATGCGGACGTGAGGAACATATCAAGAGCTGAAGCCCAGGAGTTAATTGACACGAACGGTTATGTCGCATTCTACGAGCGACGAGAGCATAGTGACGAACAAAACAGCATCGAAATCCCGCTTATCATGGAATATTTGAATCAAAAAATATTAGAATTCCGTTGAAAGTGTTTGTGAGCAATTAATGTGAGTACTTTCATCACATACTAGCTCTGGTATAGGCCTGAAATGGGGTGGTTGGTGAAGTACTTAGGAATTGATTTTTCATTTTCAGGAATCCTGGATGGAGGAGAACTGTGTAGAGCAGATGCAACTGTCACTATTTATATTTTCAGCATATAAGGCTAAGCTGTTCCCTTCGGTTTTTCGTCACTTATGTGCAAAATGTCCGATGAACCGAGCTTCAAGATGTATCACAGCTATCACAGGATTGGTGGATACATGCCCTATATATCTCAGCTCTATCGCCGGAGACCCTGGAAATATGGATCGATTCAGTGGTACCGTGTTCATCGAGTGGAATCGGCTCCGCTACAACGCTCATGCGATTAACAAATCATTCACGATCAAACACACACGATCTGTATGCAAAGTTGACGCTAGTAAAAGTCGTCGAAGAATGTCGAAGTCAGCTGTGCCGAAGTGCAAACTTTTGAGGCAATACGACGTGGAAAAGGCCCCTCAAGAAATCGGTGCATGCCCATATGGTATATCATTCAAAAGTTTCGTCATTCACGACGTTCCAGAGAAGGTGCTTTATACATATTCCATGCGCTTACAATAGATTATGTCTATGTCTTAAATGTTTGCAAACACTTCAGATTTCATTTCAGATACGGGCTTCACCATCGAAAACGACTTCTGCCACGGCGACTCACCAGTTCGCCTATGAGCGTGTACCATTGCGGCGAACGACATGTGCGGAGTGCGATGTACGCGCCTCTACTAGTGCCGCAAACCCCCCTGCTGTCGATCCCATCTTCCTCAAGAACACTGATGTAGAGAAGTGCTTCGATATATCGGATGACGAAAAGTTCGCAGGTTACATCAACAAAGGAGTTGAAGGGAAACGTAGTGCAGGTTGGTACATGCTACCGTTTTCGTTTTAAAACCACTGTTGACCAACTAGTTCTTCACTTTCTCATTGAATATCTATTTCAGTTGCACTTGAAATGGCCAAAAGAGGAATGTATCGCGGGCTCTATATCGACCAGCACCACCTATTACGTCAGTTGAGGGACGCGATCACTGAGGACGTTAATACCACCGGCTTATCGGATGCAAGCCTGTTCCTGATGAGGAGCCGGAGGAGATTAGGTGACGTATTTGTAAATTTTTGATGTGATGATATTGAAATGATATCTTTTCCAATATGCCGTAAGATGACGACGATTTTTCGTCATACACTTACCGCGACCCTGATGTAAAATCGAATACGACGTGGAAAAGGCCCCTCAAGAAATCGGTGCATGCCCCTGTGGTATATCTTTTAGAAGTTTACTTTCCAAGTTATGTATTCGAATGAAACGTAGAGAGCGTGATTTAAAGCAGGTGCGCATAACAGGTTGTAATTATTTATTTATTTTTGTATGTATGAATCTTAAATGGCAAATAAGCAGCGTCACAATGCTTGACGAAGATTCCGAACAGTCACTGTCTACTACTAATACGTTGTCAGATCGCATATTTGACTACTTCATCATACATTTCAAAAGCCAGCAATAATGCATGAAAATTATTAGCAGATAATGCACGTTTTCAGAGTAGTGTTCGTCGGGGAACGGGGACCCCGGCGGAGGACGCGGGGAGCGCTCCCCCCTCCCCGACTTTTTTGCGGGGACCCCCCGTCCAATTTATTCCCCGCGG